CTCTCAATCTCCGAGATTTCTTTTTTCTTTGTTTTCAAAAATTCTAGGGCCAATTCTTCGTCTGTTTACTTTGTTTCCATGTATTCTAATGGCTTTGGATGGAGTCCAATAGATCGTGGGACGTCTCAAGGTCCGCTTTTCCTTTGTACAGTAGACTAGTCATAGTTGTATAAATAGCACATGGTGCTCCCATTGATTCATCCAGAACATTAATCTATCTTCATAAATGATAATGAGTTCTAATGGATTCTGGTGGATCATGATGGATCCTATGGATCCTGGCGGATCCTAATGAATTCTGATGGATCCCAGGATCCACCAGGATTCGCTTTTTCCCCCTTGGCGTTAGCCATTCATTGATAAAAACTGGAGAGTGTTGAGCGATCTTTATATCGAATTTTGTCAATATAACTCATAGGAAAATTTGAAAAAATAAGACATAATAGTATTGTTACAGGTTCTCATCCATAAGACAAGCTATTGACCTGAAACTTTGTAGTTATGTAGTACTAAACATGTCCAACAAACTGCCCAAGTTTCAAAGACTTTGCTTTTGTTGAATTCGAGAACGATGAATTTTAAAAAAGTATCAGAATTTCTGGGACACCCTTTATATTTTATTTGATCATAGAATATTGATATACATTTCATTAGAAATAAATAATATGCATACAAGTGCATTTATTTCATCATTCAATATAAATAAGTCCTATTGATATATGAAAATAACATAATTTGTTTTTCATTATGTGTCAACATACTGTATTAATCTTTCAAAGATAATCAAATGCAAAATTATCACATATTGCGAAAGTTTCGTAAAAATAAAATGTCATTCACAATGTCGCCGCTTAAACATTGCCTTCTTTCTTCCATAACTCTTCTATTTGCATTGAAGATATGTTCACTTGTGGCTGAACTACTTCGTCGTAATCATCTTCTTCAACGAATCCTGGCTCATCTGCATTTGCGAATTCCATTAAAACATCATCTTGTGGAATTTTGTGTTGCTTCGGTTGTTTCCTTTCGTTTCTACCCTCTTGCTCATGACCATTATTGATGACTGTTATAGTTGAATTATGCTAACAGTTTTCAATATTTCTCGCATTGCAATGCGCACATCATTTTATTCACTTTGACTGAAGGACTACAACAAAAACGAAAGCTTTCAGCTTCCATGTATTCAGGATAGATGTGGGTGTAATAGTGTGGATTTCGTTTCTCGGTCTGTCGACACCGACACACTCACACTAGACTAATACCATTCCTACAGCCACAGTCATACTCACACCCCAAAGGATACACAATGCAGTGTTCAGGAAAATCGTTCACGTGCAGCGAGAGTGGCATAGTATTGAAGGGGGAAGCATTTTTTTGTAGATGGAGCTGTTTTCCAAAGTGTTTTTGAAATAGGACCGATTTGTGGGTCCACCGTGCTCCGTCCTTTAAATCCTTAAAATTTATTTCAAATGTAAATTTCCAAAAACTAATTTATTTTGAAAGTAGGTTTTCAAAATTTATTTCTTAGATTGAAGGAAGGTTCAAATGAAATAAATTGAGTTTTGTTTCATGCTTAATTACCTAAAACATCATAGCTTAGAGATCAAATCGAAAGATAAAGCATCATAGATGAAATTTTTCGAAATTTTGAGTTTGTTTTTGGGCTAGGGAAAGGGTCTTTTGAGAAAATAACGATACTTCATAAAAATTGGCGAAAGTAAATCGTAGTTAGGGAATCCAAATCTGCAGTTGGTTTTCCAAGATTGGATGCTCGTTTTTTACATAATTTTTCTAAAAAATGTTGATTTTTGTTAAAAGAATAATTCCCCAGAAAATAGTTTTGTAGGGAAGAGGCGATCGTTTTGTAAAAGAACTTTTTCGCGAAAAAAAATCAACTCAATATTTCGAAAAATTGATTTCAGATTCGGATTCCTTGATTCCAATTCGCTTTCGCCAACCTTTATAAGGTATCGTTATTTTCTTTAAAAAAACCCTTCCTTCGTTAAAACCCGCTTGAACCGGTAACTGTATCTACGATTATCGGTTTAGACCGGTGAATGATTGTTATTGTGGCATCCTTAGTTATATCTTATCTTTTTTTTGTTTAAGATTATGTATTTTGAAGATTCAGATGATCAATTTAAATTCACAAAAACTTATTAAATCGAGAAATAAATTTAAAAAAATTAAAATTTAAAATAAATTAACTTGAAAATGACATCTCTACTCCTAGCCCTTGTATCACATGATTCTTTATCCTAATTTTTATCGTCCTTCTCTGTCGTTTGGTTTTCAACATACATTCTAAATTATGGTTGTTCATGCATTCGACATTCTAGTTTATTCACTATTTAAACATGTGCAAAGCACAATTTTCAAATAGATCAATCTGTATCTCATATCTGTCCGATACAATATCAACGAAGTTTAGGAAAGAAAATCTATTCTCTTGAGATCAGCCGAATTTCTCCAGTGATCATGTTCATTTGTCTCCCAGTGACAAAATTAAGTTCGTACTGTTCGGGACGACCCGGAAATCGAATAATAACTGTCATTTGTCCTTGTCCGGACGCATACATTTGGTAAGCTGTTTCGATTGTTTGTTGAATCATAGATTCATAAGGAGTCCATATATTATGCTCATTGACATAAAACCAGTTTCGTGAAGTTTCAATCTCTAACTGGCGCAGACGATGACGTTCGATTCGACGCAAAAAATTAGTTTCTGCGTTGCGTTGTGTTTTTTTCTCAAAGTCGACTAGGTAGGCTTGTGGAGTGTCGTCGACGTAGCGTATTAATGGAGGTGTCATGCCATTTGATGGTCCATTTCCTAGTTGCCAATTCTCATACAGTTGTTCCAAGATACCGTTTATCACATCATTGTATGGTTCAAACATCCCGTTATCTTGTTGCCAAAACCAGCGGAAAAGTGATTGCCATGTCTTTTTCGATGAAAGGTAGTCAGACTGAATAGACGAGGTGGTCGCAATCGCAAAATATGAGGCATGATCGCTACGATCTTTACCGTACGTGACAACTGCTACCGGTAAGTTGAAAGCAGCTGACCAATCGATTGGATTGTTAACTACATAGCAAAAACCAGGCTTCGTTGTAACTCTATCACACTGCAGAATAAAAGCGATTATCATCGTTTGATTATTAGTTGATGCGTTACTTCTCTTGCAATACCCATGTGAAATCGCTGCTGTGATACCAAAATATTCACCAGGACCATGAACTTGCCCACGACGACGCGAAGGATCAAAGCCTGATTTACATATCGGCTCGATCGCATCTACCGAAGTACCATGAAAGGCAAAAATGCCCCGCGCTAGATCAGGTGGTGACTTGTTTCCAATAGACTCGACACCTTTATAGAAACGGGTCAAAGATTCACACGATTTTTCCAATAAATATGGATTTCTCTCGAAACGAATGATGGATGGTAGTTCGATTGGCCAACTGTTTCGAGTAAATTCTTCAGTTGTTTTGAAAAGTTGTGGTATAAAGTCGCCTAATTTTTCTTGAGCTTCATTTCGTTCAGCACATGTACGACCTTCATGTAGTTCATCATCAATCAAACGACATAATCCGCATACCCCTTGCCCACATGTCAGACATGTTTGATAGCCTCGACTACGGCTAATTAGACCATCACACTCATCATTAGGACAGAATAGATAATCATTATCTATCTTATTTGTCGACGATAATAAATATGCTTGGATGGATCTTTTACACAATTGTGTAAAATTCGCACGATTATTACTATACATTTCTTGTAAATCTTGAATATGAATCTTGTAGTTGCAAGTGGGACACTCTAGAGGAATCTTGTTTAACATATTTGTTGCACACCGACAATAAGCATGACCACAAATACGAAAAGTACGTGTTGCAACCATGATTCGTCGACAAAAACTACATTCGCGTGCAAAATCGTTTTGTTGCTCATCCTCAGAATTTGCTGTTGCTAATTTGTCTAATAGTTGTTTCACTTCACTCTCGCAATCACGTATCATTTCTGCAGATACTTTGGGTTGTGCATAGAGAATGATGGAACTTGTTCTACGTTCGAATGTCACAGTACATCCTTTTTGTGCCCATATAGAATTCATATCTCGTAATTTAACGTCTGCAGCTTTTTGACGACCAAAAAAGCCAATAATAACAGCATTAAGATCAAGGACACGATATCGGTCATCAAAATCATCGCTATAATCAGCAATACGACGCATCAATTGACCTTGTTCGATTTGAGGGCCACGAATTTCGATGACAGTTCCATATTTGTCTTTCTTCTCACATAGCAATCTCAGTTCATTTGCCCATGTTTGAATGATGTTCTCGTTGAATAATTCATTAAACAAATGTTTTTGTCGATCATCTGTCAACTTGATAAGAATCGGTGAAGTTGCTTGGCTTAAGATTGAAGCAGCCAATGCTGTTTTTGGCGGGCTCGTATCCGTAAAGATGCAGCGGATAGCCTTCGAAGTATTATTCTTTTGCGGAATATATATTTTTTCAATTTTCGTATGGAAACGGGTGCTGATGGCTTCGAGCAATGCATAGAAATCCGGATATAACTCATGATAAGTGACAGTCACGCACGCTGAACTATTTACTGTCCATTGCGACGTTGATCGTGAGTAAATACTGAGTGCTACTTGACGACTGATTGCCGTAATCAAAAATGTTTGTGGTTCAATTTTGAGTTCTTGTATAGAAGGAACGGCAGGGATCTTCTTGAGTTGACGAATTTTCTTCGAGTGAATAATAATTGAATGTTGTTTGAGCAATGAGCTAGATCTTAGACGAGACAGCGCGTCAAGACATTGTTCTCTTGTTTCAAAATAAACACGCGCTGACGAGCTACCCATCCTAGGATTATCTTTATCCGAATAATAAATATCTATACGTACCGGCACGAGATTATTTCCCAGTGCACCTTGAATAAGTGTTTTGTCAACAGACGTAGGCATATTTATTAATTGAAGACCAGGCAATAGCTTTTTACCTATCTGCTTGCAGCTAACAATGTCTTTATTAAGTAGAGTTTTCACCCGTTCCTCTGAGAAGAGTGTGTCTTTCTTGAATGTGAGAAGTAGTTGACGACCCCATGTCTCTTTTTCATTCATGTGTACGGTGTCGAATGCGTCTGCTTTTTGAGGATAGACATTGAATGGTGACAAATGCAATAAAGCGCGTTTGAATGGTTCGTCTGAGTCGAAGACAACGAAGAAAGGAGGAGATTCATAATTATCTTCATTCATGACGAGTTCTTTGCATGGTTGGAAATTATTTTCACGAATGTCTTGTCGACGTGCATGGAGCATATTATGAAGCCATTCATAGAGTTCGTCGAACGTTTTACAGGGAACACGATGAAGATCAAGTCGATTTTTTGTGCTAGTACTAGCGTGCTTATTTTCGATCCGCAGACAATGAAGACCACTTTCGAATGATGCTCGAATGGGGCCACAATCTAAGGAACGATTCCGAGCCAAAAGAGAGTCAAGTGTATTGTGAACAATAGGTGTGAGGGTACGGTTGATAGAGTCTTGCATGTTTTCTTCACCCCACACAGTAAGATTGCATAGACGACGATCATACTCATAGATAAGCCATTTATTCCATGGTTCAGTTCTGAAATTGTTGGCTTGTTTGCGGATTTCGACATTTAATTCCCAACCAACGTGACTGAAGACGCTAAGATTTCTAATCACTTTCAAACTAGCTGTTTCGGGTGGACTAATTGGATGTAGCCGTTCAATGACATACTCACCCGAAGATAATTGTGTGATTGACATAGCGACAAAATAAGCACTATCAAGTCGCCGCTGTACAAACACACTGGTATTAGTTATACGTGCACGAAAGTCATTTACCACCATACAAACACCTTCATTAGGCAAATGTGGTACAAGTATATGACCATATTGCTCAGGAAAATTTCTAAAAAGATGTATACCGATAATATTACTCTGATTTGCATCCATTAAATTACGAGGATTGAGTTTCCAACGTTTGTTTGTCATTGTTTTGATCGAAGCATCGCATTTACTCTCGATAATAATGAGAACTTTGTTGTTTAAAGCATTATCAACACTGTATGCTGCTCGACATGATCGACATGAATTATTTCTCTTGATTACCTTCTGACATTTGACACACATGTGTGTGCCAGAATCAATCATGCCAACGCTTTTCCATTTTTCGTATACTGAAGCGAAATAAAGCAAATCGCTTCCGTATTCCTGAGCACCTTGGGCTATTCGACCACGAGCATCTTGTTTTGCCTCTTGTGTTGCACCTCCCATAAAGAATAGAGATCCAGGTGCTGTTAAAATAGCGACGATGGCTGTTGTGACATTAAGAATGGGACTATGCTCGATATAGGTATCGACCATGAAAGCGCTCAAACGAGGATCAAGACCAAGTTCAACAAAAAGTTCACCTCGTAAAGTGATGGCATTATTGATATCAATACACGAAAGGTCTTTCAACAATTGTAGTGACTTTTCGATGAATTCTGTCCCAGATGAAGGTAGATCCATAAAAGGAAACTTCTGCGGCGTGAATTGCAAGCGCACAAGCTGCAGAACAACCAGATCGAGTGAAGATCTAAGAATTTCAGGCTCAATATTGAGACGAGTTAAATCATCAGTTCGATAAAGACGAACGCAATGTCCAGGTGCTGTTCGACCTGCTCGACCTTTACGTTGATCGGCAGATGAACGAGATATTCGTACTGTTTCGATGACAGTAAGACGACGCTTAGAATCGAAACGAGCTTCTTTTGCTAAGCCAGCATCAATCACGAGACGAGTATTTTTTATAGTAAGTGATGTCTCCGCCACATTCGTACAAAAAACGACCATTCGACGTTCTTCAGTGGGGCCGTCGTCAAATCGTAGCACTTTGTCCTGCTCTTCGGGTGAGAGAGATCCATACAATGGTAATGCCACACAATTGTCGGGTATATTACGACTAAAAATTTCAAGAGCTCGTTCAATTTCTCGTTGGCCAGGAAGAAATATGAGCGTATGCCCTTGATGTTTATCATATGACTGTAGTAAGATCGAAATAGCATGTTCTACATCAGTCAAATCGTCAGATTTAGGAATGTATTCAACAGATACATCGTAGATACGACCGGGAACATTGAGTACTTGAGCACTGATTTGATCAAAGAAATTTAGAAATTTGATCGGATCAATAGTAGCTGAAGCAATAACGACGTAGAAGTCTGTAGTACGGGCGCTTAGTAAAAGTTTTGCTATACCGATGACAATATCAGTATTTAACGCACGTTCGTGAGCTTCATCAATGATCAAAACTTTTACTTTGTTCAATCGTGGATCTTGTTGACTCTCTTGAATTAGTGCCGAATCTGTCATGAATATAATATCTGTGCCGGGAACATGACTCTTGTTATTGATACCACTACTACGACCTACTCGATATCCAACAGATCTACCCACCGATGTCCCATCATACTCATCGGCTACTCGACGTGCCAGAGATATTGCCGCCATGACTCGCGGTTGAGTACATATGACGAGTCCACCAAAATATTCAGCAGCATATTGCGGCAGCTGTGTACTTTTACCACTACCGGTAGCTGCTGTAACAACTAGTATTCGTTCTGTTTTCAACCGGCGACAAAATTCGTTCTTGGAAGCAAGAATAGGTAATTGTGCTTGCCCTCGTTCAATGTCACGTTGCTCAACGGATTTCAACAGTGGACCTATGTGCTTTTGTCTTTCTGTATTGATTGGATTTTTCTGAAATGGTGAAATGCGATTCTGTGGATGAATAGCATGAGAACAATTAGCATTTACACATTCACTCCCTTGTTCGCATGGATCCCAATCGATCGGATGCAGACACTCACAAAAATAATTACTACATGTACTTCCTTCATCACATCGCATGATACGACTCGGCGAATGATCGAATTGACAATGGAAATCAGTGCACTCATCACCATTCGGGCATACTTCTCTGTCTGGTGGATGTAAGCATAGACATGCAGTGTTATAGCACCGTTTTCCGAAGAAACAAGCTTTCGGACGACTATTCGGATGCAATGCTTTACAAGTCCAAACACGACATTGATCTCCGTCTGAGCATTCGTGCATGCGTGTTGCAGGATGTAAAAGTACACATGCGATATTTTTGCAATTAGCTCCGTTTAGACATGGTTTTGTGCGTCCATACGGATGGTTGGCTTTGCAATCGAATTCTTCACAGTCGGTACCATTCTCGCATGCTTGCCACTCTAACGGGTGATCGAATCTGCAAAATGGATTGAAACAGTCTTTTCCACTTCGACAAGCAGTCCCTCGAGAGGAACAGGAATCGTCTCGGGCTCTTGGTCGAGACCGAAGACGTGTACCATGAAAACCAGATACTAGAGGACGAATAAAATCTTTTGAAGTAGCTGAACACGCATAAGAATTATCATGTATGTTGGAAGAGCAGCCAGTGAAATTGCAGCGATCCACTCTTGAAGGACGATTTACGACTTCTCGATTGCCATTAGAATCATTGTCATCATCGCTATCGTTGTTTTTATTGGATGCCATTGACGTCAGAATACCTGAAAAAAGAGCAAGTACAGATGATCTGTTGTATTTTTCATGAACTGTAAATCCTGTGGTCATAGAAAGAGAATGACTCAATCAACCACAACTGAGAAAAATCGTCTCCAAAGGGAAGATAATGTATTTTACATGAATGTCACGTAGAAATGTTGGTCAAATGTTCAAGAATAATCGAGTATGAACAAATAATGTTCTTAATTGAAGATATGAGCACCTTCTTCATAAACGGAAGTATTCAGAGTGCATCGAAGCAGGAATCGAAGGAAATAAACCATGTAGTGATTGATCTGAGATCATTATTTGTATAAGTTAATTCCAGCTGTCAACAACTAAGGTTTTTTCTTGTGGATAGCACTCCTATGTTATAACATGGAATGGACAGAGTTATTGACTTCTGCGACTGTTGATGATTTGAAAACATGCTATACGTGATTATATGAGACCACAAATGATCGTTTCAGACGTATATTACCCTCACCGTGATTCTATGCGGAATTTACATTTTTGAAAGACGCTTTTTGGCAGTGGCTTGTTGTACTGCAAAGTCGATCTGTTTTTATTATAAGAAGTCATTAAGTATAATAGAAATGGAACTAAGAGAAATAAACTAATGAGTTTTAGAAAAGGTTTTCCATGATTCTAGAGTAGAACAGCATTTTGCATTTCTGAAAAAAGTATCACATTTTTAAAGGCTGAAAATATTTTCTATTGACCTTGTATTCTTTCGTGTCATTGGTTGTTATGCAAGGAATAGAAACCTTGCAATAATACAAGAGTTTTTCAGTTTATAATAGAGTAACCTAAGAGCTTCATAACTTACGTCCGAATTCCAAACTTTGACCACGTTTGGAATAGATCCTGTTCCCAAATGATTGGATTTGTTGACCACCCGAACCTGATACTCTGCTGAAAATTCTTGGTACTGATGGCGGTCGTTGAAGCAATGTTTGCGACTTTGTATCAATAGCCTTACATTTAATTGTCGCAGAGCCTATGCATTTATTGTTCCATTTCTTCACAAATTGGTTTGCACTTGACTCATCTGAAAATCCATTCACCCACGCGTAATAGTTTGGACCTTGCTGATTATGAGGAATCCCGATATCTGCCTGTTCCACACCAAACTTAGCAGAGAGCTCTTCACTTTTGATTCCCTGCGGTAAATAGGTAATTTTAACGCACCATACTTTAGCCATTGCCAATGTATACACTTTTTACTTCGACGAAAATACCCGAAGAGTGCACTGCTTAAATGATCGTAACAGTTATATACGAGTTGTATTCAGGTGTGGGTAAATTTCCACAATGATTAGTGAACAAATAATTCTTTCTTTCACTATCTACGTCTGAAGAAAAAAGCTGGAAGAACAGAAAAAAACATAATCTGCGTAGAAATCATGCATGAAATTTTAATTCAACTGAAACTTTATCCCCGAAGTTTGAGAGTGCATGCAAATTGTGAATGAGTTTGAGGATCTTATTTCTACGTCAACATTCACACATAGAGCATACAACAGATAGACATCACAGCAATAATCATAGCTTTCTCGATTACTCAACACTCAATAGTTCCCTCGGCTGTAGAAAGGATCATATGAAATAAAATAAGTTTGCTTGCTTGTATGTTTGCATGCACGTGTTTAGTCACGTGTCCCCCATGCATTTTTAGGGAATAGGAATGTTTTACAAAGTTTGAATTACGGTAATTGGGATCAGAGAATTCGAATCTCTAACTGGTTTCTTGAAATTTTAAGTGTAAGGGTTTTTTAGGACAAGCAAAGACTTTTTTACGAAAAAAATGATTTTTTTTATAACGTTTGAGCAAAGGTGATCGAGGTCTAAGAATCTGAATCTCTGATCAGATTTTCAAAATTTTTGAGGGTGGGTGTGCGGCCATGTGTGCAACTTTTCACGACAGGAGTGATTTTCTCGCTTGACTGAAAACAGTACCGTATGATATATAATGAGTCTGTTGTTTTGCAATGATGTGGAAATGAACGTATTGATATGTGAGAGCGTTATTTTAAGTTTGTTAATCTGTGATATGAAATATCTGTTGGAGTAATCTCACACTGTGGGCTGAGTGAATTCAACGTTTTTGGAGTCCATCTCTAAGTGAGTGAAGCATTATTCGATTAGAAATCGATGCAATGTGTTGCTTTGTTTCTCTAACTCTTATGATTAGGATAAGTTGATCCACAAGTAGCAAACTTTGTGGATTGTAAATGCCTACTCAGACATCTTTTAGACGGAGTACACTTGGCATTAGCTCTCAAGTTTCATGAAATCATCCGAATTATAAATTGCAGTATCTAGGTATGAGTGTCGAAATAGATAAGGGTGAGAAAAAATATCATGCTTACAATTACGTGCATGCAAAACTGTATTTACGGCTCTACCATGATTCAGATCTAAGCTCACAGATACTTTGCCTCTCACATCTAAGTTTAACGCAATCCGCTATTATCAACGTGTATGTCTATTCTTATTACACTTTTGTCTGGCTGAGAACTGAACTATTCACATAGTTTGCCGAAATGATGATTTCGAAGACAATATAAACAGATATATGAAAATGAGGGCACGTATTTTACGGCTAATGGACAATAATCAACTATTACTTAAGTGCATTCAAACAAGGAAGCTACTAGTCGTGAGTGACGCCTCGATGGAGCGCCGACGAACCATCTCCATGCAGCCGATAATGGACAAATAATGCAAAAATGACCCATTATTTTCCATTATTTTGTAAAAAACATGAAATAATTACGCAGATGAAATTAGCACCGTATTCGAGTAAAACTTGTCCATATTCGTTCAGGGTAGTGTTTCAGAGATGAAAACCAGCGTTCCAAGCACAACTCGACGAGCTCTATCCAGTGGTATTATTGGATTTTCCATAGCACAAATAGTGTCCGGAGAATTCCCAAAATACTGTTCTTTTTCCATAGAAAACTCAAAATCCTGTTAGTAAAACTTGCCCATATTGGTGTCGGCATGCGTCCCAAAGCTCCAATTCTTGTTCCAAGGACGTCTCGATAATGTGTATTGAACAATATAAGTAAGGTGACTGAGTTTTATGACGTGTTCCCAGGATTCTGGTTACAGCCGCATCGCATCTTATTATGCATTTCCTTCAGAGTATATCTTTACGGGATTCGTTCGACAAGGTTTTGTATAAGAACTGTTTGTTTCTATTCAATATTACTCCGACTTTGGTTAATTAATGTTCTTACAGTATGTAGGCGATCAACTGGGGAGGAATGTCGAATGTCTGTATGGGGTACTGAATGAGATATAATTCATATATTGTGTGACCTGACCACATAGATTGAGTGAATTTCGTCTGTTTTTAAAACTTTGCTAGCAATCGTTCTTTCTTTTATCTGAGATGATAGAGTAGTTATCTCCTCTGATATGGGTTGCAATCGAATAAAAGAAGAGTTGCATGTCTTTCTTTTGTTTTGTAGAGATTTTTATTATTGTGGAAGTGTTTATAATTTGATGAGTATGATAAAGAGTTTTTACAAGTGAGAGATCGTGGAATTGAAAAATACGAAACAAATCAGTTTTTCAGTACATATATGGCTGTTTCTGCGTGATCAGGCGAATAATTAACTTCTGTAACACCTTCAAGATCATTGAAAATATGTAAACGGTCGGAGGCGTCGATGATGGTTGTGATAAAGTGATCAGCTTTGTGGTTGATTGTTGCCCGTAAATTATACCTAAAAGAAAATAGATTCTTAAGTTTTCTCTTTCTTTTACAATAAGTGGAATATTCGGTGAGGAAGATCGTGTCGTTAGATGTCTATTGGACAGTTATATTTCGACATACCATACATTAACTGTCTTCGCCAATCAAATCACTATTGATTCTCGAGTTCAAACTTTCATTTCCAAAGCGCAACATGCGCTTCGTTGCGGCTACTTGGCATAAGAGGCTAATGGTTGCTATGCAGATATATTATCTCATTCTCTCGTGACGACGTGATATGTGGGCAGTACATAAAATAAAAATATCCTATCGATTCTACAGTCGTTTCGAATTCAGATGCGTCTGAACGCGACCATTGGTACAAGCGCTTCCAGATGCATCTATGAAACGCATCTGAACGCGTTGCATCCGGTTTTTAAGTATAACCGCATCTGAACGCGCTTATAAACGCGTTTCAACGCGTCTGGTCTGCGTTCGGTTTTCACATGGGTTCGGTCGATAAAACACAAACATATATGAATACTGGAATTCTTAGGCGTAACTGAATGATATAAAAAATATAATTATTCTATAACTTTTCACAACAGTGCTACGGCTACTGAAAATCCAATTATACAATCGATAGAAGTCATTCAGCTCTACATGGAACGCGAATGGCAGTCCTGGAAGATGCTCCTAAAAGAGCTGCACACGCAAATATACAAAAACAAACGTTGGCAAATGAAAACTTTTGCGAGCTTTGCAGCACTAGTACGACTCATGGATAACCCAATTACACCATTCAATAGAACTCATCGACTAGTACCTAGAGCAACAA